TTCAGATTGTAACCCAAAAATATTTGCCTCATGAGTTATCCATGAGTTGTTGCTGAATTCTTTCTTTTTAATGTAGGATTGCTTGGATGATGACACACACAAAAGTTTTCATTCATTCCATGTTTTGATATATTTGATTTGGGGGTAACTGTTGGCCAGTTGACATTATTGCGTGACATCAGTTCCAGGGCAACATGCATTTTGTTTGATCCAAGAACAACCATTTTGGTTTGAATGGTCAACAAAACGCATTTTGCGATTGTCCAGTCAATGCATGTTTTGTTATACCTTATTATTTTGACTTATCTTGCACTAGCTTCCTTGATCACGATGATTGATATGTATACATCTTACAGTGTGACGTAAAAAGCGTCATAGCGGTCCAGGATCTCATCGATAAAAAATACCGGTAGTCCAAAATCTCACTCAGCGGTATACAACATTGATTTTATTTTATTTTTTGATCGCTTTTTAACATTTATAGAACTCCACTGTTTTTTTTTTCAATTTAACTTGTATTGAATCCGCTCAGACATTTGAATGAATGATGCTACGTTTTTTAATCGGTTGGTTTGGAGATACCCAGCATTTTGATAAATTACAATTTCATCGATAGCGGGAATTAAGTTTCGTGGGAGATAACATATGCATCTCATCGAATATACACTAAATACATTTTTGCATCACAGCACGTTTTGTAGCAATAGCTGGAAAAAAGTTTAATAGGTGCAAACAATGTTTTCCTTTGACAACTGTATCGTTATTTAGATAGGTTGTATCTTAGTACAATTCTCAGTTAACCTTGGACTCTCAGTAGGGCGTGACTTTCTCGACACTCCTAATTAGCGTCACTCAAATGGCGAATAGATTTTCATTGGTTAAGAAATTAATAACATCAGCAACTTTAAACTGTTGCTGACAACGATGAGACGACTTAAGCCCCACCTCTTTGCCATACTATCATTGGATCATTGCTACACTCGTTGACATTAGCCCGAGTGTATATTTCAACAGTGAATACCACGCCTTACTGTAAGTCCTAAACAGAGACTTGCACTATATGACGACTTTTTTCTATCGTTAATTTCATTGGTTGTGTTCAATGATGACTTTTATTTTGATAGGTTGGTTTGGAGCTACCCAAGCTTTTGAGACAATCGGCCTGATTGGTGGATTTGTGGGACTAATCCTGATCATCCTATACATATTCATAGACAAAACAGCGGGAAATCGAGTCCTGTTCATCATTAGTCTTGTGGCAGTAGGGATTGCAGGTACAAAATACTACTACAAATGCGTGGCGTGGAAGACGGGTTAACCCCATTCCCCGCAGTCATGCATTATTTTTAACCCATATACCATTTCCTATTTCTAACGCAAAATCACGCATATACCGTTTCCCTACAATCACGCATTTTTCACCCACTTTCAAAAGTACATTTATAATCTTCAATTTAATGCAAATTCCCTTCTATTTTTTAAACTAACTAAAATTTCATAAAGTAAGAAAAACATATTACGTCATAATTACTAAAGCTAAATTTTAGAGAGAAATTTGTAACTTGATGTGCTATGAAGTGCTTGCGGGGAATAGGTAACGTCATATTATTGATTGCCGAAGTTGAGGTTAAGTTGGGGTATAGTGCAGAGAAAAAACAGCAATTGGTTAGAGTACATTGAATGAAAAATGTAGTAAATAATGGTTATATTCGCGATAGTCAAATTTTTGCTTTCTTTGCAAGCATAAAGAATGTTTTTGGATTGAAAAATTAATTTGCGTTAAATACGGTATACATACATAGATAGATGAAGCTGTCGCAAAAATAGGACATTTGTTTTGGGATGTTTTCGCAAAAGTTCTGACATGCAGAAAAACATGTAAATGTAATAAATATTGAATCATATTTTGTATAAGGATAAGAATTAACACTCAAATGGAATAAAATATGTTATGCTCAAAATCAGGAAAGACAGATTTTTTCCAAATCTTTGATTTCTTTCAAAATTACCTTAAAATATTATAATTTGAGCTGTAAAAAGAGTATGTCTACAAAATGTGTAGAAGACAAAATAACCCATAGAACTTTATTCTTTGCGAAGATATTTGAATTGTATTTGCCGTGCGGTTACATTATTCATTAACTGCAGTAATTTTGCCCTTTCCTCCCCCTCCCCTTTTTTTTTTGGGGGGGGGGGGGGGGGGCTACAACTCCTTAAGAACTCCGTAATGGTGCAAGTGCGGGAGTGATTCACTACCGCACAGATTTCGGGTCAAGGGTCAAATTGTCTATTTTATTAGAATTTCTTACCTGGAATCCCAAAATGTAGTTATGCAAGACATAAATCGATCTAAAAATATACAGAACGATCCATATATCGGTTATTTTTCGTGTATGTCAACATCACAACTTGAATTTATCCGCCATGTTTACTGACCTTGATAGATTTTATTTTGAGACAGCCAATGAGAATTTAGGATCTGTAGGAGCGGATCTTTTGGGAATTCCCTTAAGCATAAATGTCGCTGTTTACGAAAAAAATAATACATGGAATGGTTTTATTTATCAATGTTTAGTGATGCTATTCATTACAATTATTTATAAACACCGACATTTGCTTTATTGAGTTATTCTAAATTTCAAGCGCAAGTCTCCGCACATCACACGTGAACTGTCATGGTTGCTGAGTAGAGCGACTGGAAAACACGCAGATTTATTTCACATGGTTTTCGCGTTTGTGGGACTATGTTTTTGAAAGTGAATAAAGATGCCGACTTACATGTATTAGAAGTAAGTTGAATGTAAAAACAATTAATTTTGCCTGTAATCACTCGTAAATATATTTGCACCATTACGGAGATTCTGCGGCATTGTAGCCCTCTCCAGAAAACATCAGATAAAAAAAATCGGAGAGGGCTACATTATTGCAGCTAATCATACATCAGGCGCGGATCCAGGAATTGAAGTTAGGGGGGGCGCCAAAAGTAGGCAAGGGGTCTGGGGGCCGTAGGCCCCCATTGGGTCCAGGGCAGATATGGGGGCCCAGGGTGCGAAGCCCCCGGAAGCTCCTGGGTTCTAGAGATTTTGTAGGGTAGAAATGCGGTTTACCAAGTAGAAATATTTACATTTTCTAGACGAAACTGTGATTTACGTTAACTTTGACAATTTTAGGGGGGGCGCGCGCCGGGTGCGCCCCCCCCCCCTTAAATCCGCCACTGTACATGTACCAGATGTACATATACGCAGTGCAAGTGAAACGACACCAGAATTTCAATTTTTATTGACTTCAGGAAATTTGAGTGTTTTCATTTTAGGAATTTTCTGAAAATGGAAGGAAATTAATACATTTTCCGAAAAATTCCAGATATGAATTAATTCCAACACAATTGGTGTTCGGGCTTATTTATAACACTAGGTACGTGGAATATAAATCAAATTAAGGAAATTTTAAATATTTGATCTTGTACTTTAATATCAGTCATTTTTAAGTATTGAGCAGAATACGTAAGTCATATTAAAGAAGCTTTAGGCCCATTTCATATCAAAAACCAAAAATAGCGAAACGACTTATAAAAAAGCGTAAACTGATCCAAACCAGGATATACCAGAATAACCTGAATACCCATTAAAGTCATTCCTTATAAATTAATTTTCCATTTTGAAGTTTTGAAATTAAATTAATTCAAAATTTTCTCCAAAAATGCCTACAGAGTGAGCACGTCAAACAGGTTATTAACAAGTCTTTGACGTAAGGCATTGTGACCTAGGCAACACAGGTTATACGATATAAACTAATTTTTTATCCAATCAAATGACACGTTACAACCAAACTTAAATTATTTAGCTATGTGGTCATTCAACAAAAACATTGAAATTTTCTTCTGAGTTTTTATCCTTTGTCGTTAAAAGTATTTTTATCTGTTAAAATAAGTAGAATGGTGAACTTAATTTAATTTTCAGATAAAAATCAGTAAATGACATTTTTATTTGACTATTTGTCTTTTTGAAGAAAAAATCATCTACATTTCACGATTAAAAAATACAATGTTTCTTCAATTTTTCAGCGGGGTCTACTCTCCTAGGTGTGATTATTTATGGCGCGAATGGAAGCGCCCTCTCGTGGTCATTCGCGCTGGCTGTCATCGCCGGACTAATATACGGTGTAGCTACTGCACTGATGGCCATTCACTTGGTCAAACCAGGCCTTGTCCAGGGATGATCCAGCGAAGCCAACTATATAGTCTGTCAGATGATCGAGGACCTAGCTAACGGATCATTTACAGCAGGCGCAGTTCTCACCATTACGTGATAACGATGAATTAGATATAAATGTATTTTTGAAATTTTCGTTGTAAAAGTATTTTAGGAAATAAAGTTACGATTGAATATGTAGATTGCGTCCTTCTGTCTTCCTTAGGGAAAGAAACAATACAGCCTTTTTATTATTGCATAAAATCTTCAGCACAAGACAGAAATAGACATCAGACCGCAAATTTTGACCATTTTATGTTTCCCGAAATATATATTCTGATTATCATAATATCGACATGAAAAAAAACTACATGGTATAGAACAATGTGTACAGCACAGTTTTGCACAGTTTATTCCAACAATTTTAATTACATGAAGATTTTAACAATGTTTGGTGATAGTGCAGAAGGATTCTGTGATACAAATGCTCCTAGTTAACTGGCCGTGGTTTCAACGGCTTTTTTTCTGCATTTCATCTCCAATTTTTTTTCCTAAACCATTCTTAGCACTTTTAGCATTTTAATTCAGTCTTTTAGCATTCATACTCAGATACAAGACGAAGACTGTACAATATTTAGCTACTTATTTCGGACTAGCAACAGCTTTGCACGTTATTCAACTCTTAAAACCTTTTAAACTGTCGTATTATATAGGCTTCTTCGATTCTATCGTTTGGTAGAAAGGAATGGAACCTTTGGAGCATTAAAATCTACATCAGAGTCCCGGTACACAAAGGATTTGTGGTGTTTTTATTTTAGTTTTAAATGAGGGGGGCTGGCTGGAGAGATAATGAATAATCAATGTCTCAATAAGACTGCCAGAAGACATAACATTAGCTTCCAGCCAGGACTTTCTGTTACAATGACGCACAAAAAAGGAAATACTTCTATCCATGCTTTTCACACGGAAGTTTACACTTTACTTCATAAATATAACATTGATATATATCAGTAGAGCGATTGTAAATAGCTGTTAGTTAAACTGCAGGTTGGGATTTTGCAAAAGGATACAATAGTAATTCAAGAAGCGATTCATGCAGTCTTTTTTAGGAGAATTCGTAGCGGAGGATTTGTACAGACAATGCAGTAAGTCAATATCAGGTATAAAAATTTCATAACAAATGGATGATTCAGGGAAAAATTGCATAAAGGCATATTGCAAAATAATCGCGAGTCAGCAGTATTGATATTGTAAATCGATATTTTTTTTTGAGAGTCTTGCGGTCCAACATTTAACACGTCGATTTTTTTTTTTGTTTTAAACGTCGAAAATTTTCTGAAATGTCTAGTTTCTTTATTTGGGAATTAGGGATTTTACTCATAAGTTAAAAGCCATATAAAAGATGATTTGACATTTTTGCTTTGAAATACATGTACATTAGTTAAAATGAAGAAAAAATTCTATAGAGATGACGACCAGTTTGGCATGCTTTGTATAGCTGTTGCTTTAATAGAAGGAACTGAGAATTAATTGCTACTCAAGTAAACCAAGCTAGATCTAAAGTAAGACCGTCTTTACAAATCCTGAATTATGCCGACTCAGATTTCATTGTATCAAGACATGCAAAATTCCTGTTTAATCCGCGGAAAATGAGACCAAATCCTGAAAATAGCGTGATCAAAATAACCCTGACTTTTGGGGGTTTTTTTGTCGCTGTTATAATGATAAAAAATAATGCATAAAAAACCTTTGATTCTTCAAAACTTGACGGACGACTGAAGCAGAAGAGCATTCAATCAATCTGGATTCTGATGACTTTAGAATTCCTCTCTTGGCTGGCTATCATCGATCCGGTCCCGAGGGAGTTCGTTACCTTTCTAAACGAGTAATCATTTCTGCATTGTGCAGAGTATTAGCAAGCAAAAGAAAACTATTTCTCCGATATAGAAAACAACCTAATTGGGATTTACTTCTGTTTCTTTTGCAGAAATATCCCTAGTGAAGGAGAGAGAGTCAGGGATGTTCATTTGATCAATAGGAAGGAAGCCGAAGAAGGAAGACTGTAGCGATAAATTTTGTTAATGTCTATAATCATTGATCCCGTATTCCACGTTTGTGAATTTCAATATGCTGCTAATTCATCTCGTCAACTTAAAGGCTCTCTGAGTAATTCTCGTGTGCTATCGAGTGATTTTTGTGTAGGAATTGGATGCCATCTTCGGATCGTGTTGATTGCTCATTAATTTTCATATTCAGTTCAAGACTAAAGAAGGAATATTGATGGTTTGCATTAATTGTAGAGATTGACGTATATCTACGGGATTCTTTACTTGAAATCGATGTGAACTAAAACTTTTTCTGTGTTCAAAGTCCTCCATGCAAATAGAACATGTGCTGATGTAAAGTGATCTGCTCACTTACGATAATTGTCTTTTGACTAGCATGAGAACACGGCATATATTTCTTGGAGTTTCCTTTCTGTTATGGAGAAAACGAAAAGAATTTCAGTAGACCGGAAGGGCATCCAGTCTTTGTTCATCCCAGCTGTTCCGAAAATTGTGTTCGAAACCTCTGAGCCGCACGGACCAGAATCTACGGGAGGTACGATCCCTCATTCGCACTCGGCGGGGGAGCTAGCAATTGCCAATGAAGGAAATCAGTTACAGAAGCGCACCGGAAGTACTAATTTCCCGTCATCGGACGGAAGTGAGTCTAGTTCCCGCTCCACTCTTGACCTATATTGCTCACCTCGACTCCAGAGACGTCAAGTGTTTCAGTTTGACCAAGATGATATGGAACAATCATGGACGGAAACCATGGTTTCTCGGAAGTCTTCCAACACCCTGGGACCGGGAAACAAGATCGGGAGTACGTTATCGCTGACTAGTGAATGTACAGCCCGGAGTATAGGTCTCATATCTAACGACTCCTCGTCCGACAGCACACAATTCTCGGACAAACTGGAACACATTAAACAAAAACAAAACTATCTACGGCGGTATGCTTCGAACCCAGAGAAGAATCAAAAGGAGTGTGTGGAAAATGTTGTCCAAAGAAGCACCAAGTCTTTCAGTAACTTTCAGTCGGAAAGCCAGAGAACAAGTGAGGTAGGGAGTGACAGTATGGACGACAGTTTGGGTGATTACGTCACACCACGGGAAGTTCAAGAGCAGATGTCACGCTTCTCTGTCGCCAATTCTAATGAAAATTCTTCACCTAATCTTATAACTATGGTAACCGATGACTCGGAAATGAAAGAAGGTCGAATCCGACAATGGTTGACTGATATAGATGATAAAGACGGTTCCTTTTATTAAGTATTTTTGTAACACACGTGGTTTATGTCTAAACTTGACGTGCAAAGTAAACAGTTATTTTCAGTTCTAGAATTGCATTTGAATTAAGCAGAGGTCTAAAGGTTGAATCGTGAACCTGATAAGAGAAAACAAAAATTTGTTAGAGAAAACAATTTATCCCATTTTTCCGAACATCAGCATGTAATGTATGTTATGTACATTATACCATTTTTTGAATTATTTCGCGAATAAAAACGTTAAATTACGGGAAAACATCTAAAAATTAGAAAAATTTCTGAAAGATTTGCGATGATAGAAGATGCACCAAGCAATCCCAAAATCACAACAAAAAGTCAGCTGAATTTGAGAATGATAATTAAACAGAATGAATCGATTGTGGGGTACATGGGGATTATAAATTCACTCTTTACACTATTACATCAACGTCAATTACGGTATGTATTCATCAAAGTCGATATACAACCTTCCAAATTCAATTGTGTAAAGCCATAGTGTATGTTGTCATGGCAATTTACTTCCTCTGAAAGTAAACTTGGAAAATTGAGTTTCCTATGGACGTCCCTGTTTAAGGATTAGTAAAGTTCTATTAGAAAAAAAGATGGAATTTTCACCACGTGTTCTTTATGTATTTTTTTTAATTCTCTTAAACTTGTCCATTCTAGGCAGTTATAGCCGAGTTGTTCCAGGCACTCCTATAATTCCAACACTGTCGGCGGCGTGGAACCGCTCACTGACATTACCGAACTAATGAACTACATTCCAATTGTAAGGGAACTTTAAAAAAAAAAAAAAAAGACAGATGTGAATATTTTTCATAGCTCAAGTGAACTTTTCTTCGATTAGATTTGGTCCGTCTGTCTGTCCAGATGTCTATGTTTTTGTACCTTTTTCACATTTTTTACTTCTCAAGAACACTGGATCAGTGTTTAGGGGGCCAAAATTGGCTCTTATCATATATAGTCCTTTGCCACAAATCATCCTTGGTTAAAGCAATGCAACTACTTGTCTGATCAAACAAACTGGCGTTGTCGTCTTTCCATAGATCATAAAAAATAAGTGAAAAATTAAAGCATCTCTTAAAATTTCTCTTAAGAACCACTGGATCAGAAAATATTAATGAAACTTATAATTTATTAACTTCATTATATACTACTTTAGATTCGAGTTTGTTAAGATCATAATTCCCAGGGTATGATGAAAGCACGATAGGTATAAAAGTTTTACGTAGGAATATATATTTTAAAAAAACATTTCTCAAGAACAGCAAGACCATGATTACTCATAAGCTTATTTATATCGAAATGTCATATTGTTTGTAATTTTTGATGCAAATTGTATTTTTTTTTTGTATTTACTACGTACATGTATACCAACCGGTAAAATCAAAAATTACAATGTGACAGAAGTATTCTCTAGTAAGGTTTTCTGTAGAAACTTTCTCAAGAACCACAAAGCCATGTATGGAAAGTCTTACATTTGGAAAAATTCTCGGGTAGACCGAGGGAGGGTAGATTCAAGTTCATGACACCTATAGGTAAGGCGGAGCTATGTTATGTTAAAAGGTTGTACATAGGAATATATATATATAAATCTTCTAAAGAACATCAATGGCACGATTATAGTAACATACCGGTATTCATATGGAAGCATCAAAGTTGTACATAGAAAATGCTGATTAAAACCAACAAGGGCAATTTTGACTCAGGTGAGCGTGGTAGTCCATGGGCCTCTTGTTTTAATTTCCGGAAGATTAGAATGTCACTGATTCGGAAAACCACTGAGTAATAAAAGCTTTGGACATTTATGACAATGAACGGATTCACCGGCCATTCTAAGGATATTGAGATATGGAACATTGACTAATGTAATTTGTAACTAAAATTGTTGCTGAAACATTACCGTCTTTCAATACCACTTACTGAATATGGTGAAATATTGCTTTTTCTATAAGCAGTTCAATAGCAATGTTATTTCTAGTTCTGGATAACCATTGGTAAATGACCGATTCCAGCAAACCGTGACCTTTGAGGGGCTGTGATCTTTGTCATACGTCAGCTTTTTTGTTGGTTTTTCTTATAAACTTAGTTATATCGCTGTAACTTGCAATTTTTGATGATTACAATTAAGTTCAGTGTGGGGAATGTTGGCTGCAAATTAGGGACCACTCCTCAAGAGTTGAAGCTGTCACAAATGGAGTCTAGCGTTTATATATACTACCTAAAATTAAAGCTAAATATTATATTCAAATTGTGCAAACTAGGCGAGAAGGACTTAAAATCAATTTATAAAAAGAAAAGCAAAAATTTTGATTCTCTTGACTTGATTGATGGCTTTTGATTTTAGCTAGGAGCCGTAAACTCTTTGAGCCGTCATTTTGATAGAGTAAGAGTTAGGGTAAGAGCAAGGGGTCTAAGGTTAGGGTTTGGTCCAGTTGCATCTAAATTATTAATTCAAACCAGAATTGCTTCATTGGAATGTTCATAAAACAATCTTCAGAATTTTCTTGATTATAAAAATAATTTTTTTTGTAATAAAATGATTAATAATAAATCATTCATTAAAACAAATCAAAAAGCAACGGTCATTACAATAATCTTCCTTGTTTTGAATTAATAATTCTATACTTAATATTTTCCCAAAAAACTGAAATAATGATGCTCTCTAGTGTCGCAATATCTCTTCATTGTAATACTGTTGGGAGTATATTTTCGTGCTCCCTGGTTCGCGAGCGGTCGATCTGTCGCTCTCCTACGTTTTCTCGGTCTCCAAGGACGCATTGATTTACAGAACCATATGCATCCTAAAAAATCGTTCCTGAAACATTTGTAGCGAAATCTAGAAAATCATCACAAACACGAAATGTATTTCTTTGCATGAAATCAATATGGCACAAGGATTAAAAAAAACACAACTTTTTAACTGATCTCAGCATCCAGCATTATAATGAAGTATGCTCATGTATATATATACAGTACCTGAGGATGGTTTCATTGTAATATTACTGATCATGGCTTTGTTGCTCTTCATCAGAAGATTTTGAAAGATTTTCCTACATACCGTATTAGCGAGGATCTGATTTTGGCATTATTAGCGAGGATGCCGAGATCGCTAAAATTGAATATCGCTAAAAATTAATTGCGTTTTATTATTTATAGCTTCTTTAGTATGCATTTTAAAATCGCTAAAATTACATCTCGCTAAAAATAAAACACCAGTTTTTAAGGACAAATCGCTAAATTTGCGTCTCGCTAAAATTTCCACTTATATGCATGGTATTATATAAAACTTAGATCCTCAATGAAGTCCCACCCAGCCCCCCGGTCGCTATTTGATCAAATTACAATCTACATTTTGTAAGGAAACTTTCTGAGATTTTTCAACTTTTCTGGACCACTGGTTATTGTACCGGTTTGTTGGTTTTTTTTTTAATAAAAAGATTTTTTTAAGATGCCATCAAATTTTCACAATTTTTAAATATATCTCTCCCTTGAAAGAGGGCATAGACTTCTTTTGAACAAACTTTAATATCCTTAACTTAAGGATGCTTTATGGCAAATTTGGTCGAAACTGGCACAGTGGTTTTCGAGACGAAGTCGAAAATGTGAAAAGTTTACAGACTGAAATGCATTAAGCACACTTGAGGTTTCAGCCAATTACAGTCCTTGATAAAATTCTCAGATGTAGACTTGAAATACTTCTTTAAAAAAAATACAGGTAATCATATTTCTTTTCAATAAAGCGATTTTGTTTGTTGGAATTGGTGAAATCATGTATAAATTCGAATATTAATTGGTGATCATTATTAAATGGACCCATCATTTTAAACAAAAAATATATGCATAGTTCCTAAGCTTTCACTTTAATTTGAAAGCAGATAACCAAAAAATATAGTCTTAGGTTGTCTAAAACTTGCATCTTGGAAGCTATAACGAGACAAGCAATGACGTTTTCACAAAATGGTTTCGGAAAACATGAAAGAATCGAAGTTCCAGTACTATATACAGATGTTTTTAATAACTCAAATAATATATGAAATATATACAAAAAAATTATTGTGATACATCCTGTTCACAATAAAAAATTGTTTGTAAAAAAAAAACCACTTGGTTGAATTATGTTAAGTGCACAATGGAACATTTATATATGGGTTATCGCAAAAGTCACGTGACTGTGACTGAGCGCGTGACCCTTGTTTATAAAGTCGTAAAATGACTTCCTTGCAATCCGATGATAAGTTTTAAGAAGAGTCATTAGAACCAGACTCGGACACACACAAAAAACAGTTCCTACACCGGTGTACAATGTTCTGCTTGGCTCAGGGGGGTTGAAATCTGATCAAATGTGCGTAGCGTGTTTGTTTCCGTCTTGACTAAGGCAGCGTTCATCCCGGTGAACCAGTCTCTCTGTAGAAATGCTAAGAACTCTGTTGAACGACATCCACACGTCTCTATATTCTGGCGGCATCGTTGCCTCGTTTCCAGTGTCTCCTGCAAAACAAAAAATTCAAAGAAATTCAACAGTCTTCTCAGATTTCTTGATCTTTTAAGAAACATTTGCAAAAGAAAATGAAAATTTTAATCACCTTATATTTCTATAAAGAGAACGATTATTTGCATTCACGCCCGCTGTTCAATCTTATTCATGTATAATAAATTAAAATTGTAGTACTAAAACTAAAATTTGTTTGAGGTGAGTTTGATGACAATCATGCAAATTTTTTTCGAGATTTTCTTTGAAGATCCCGATGACGAGAGAAAAGGTGCGCAACTCTATGTATCAACATGACTTGATCATGTTCAAGTACTAGTATGTTTCTGAGCAGGAAAATCTGAGCATTTTGATTTATTTATTTTCAGTTTATATGTTCATTATTGATGTTGACGAAGAAGAATGTACAGAATAAATTTATATCTCGAACATACGTATTTTCACATATGTGAACAGAATAATGTTAACTATATAGATAATAAATTTGCATTATTAAATGTTTTTATATAAAGAATCAGACCCAGGTGACATAATACAATTTTCAAGTCCAGTACAATTGTAGACCTTACTACCCA